TTTTAAGAAGAAAAATCCTATTTCAATAGAAGTTGCTAAAGCTAAAATGGTTTCTTTCCCTTCCACCGGACCATTTGTTAAGCATATAGGGATAGTTCAGTTGGTAGTTCTGTGTGCCCAGTTCGGGCCTCGAGCAATGGTGGAATAGAAATGCAGTCCGTCGCATGATTGAGCCGGAAGTTCCAAGACAAAGGGGGGAATGAAAGGGCGAGGGCTACACCCTCCATCTTGCCCCAGGGTAAGGGCTACGCCCTCCATCTTGCCCCAGGGTAACCGCACCATCTTACCTTGGCCATGTGCTTGGCAAGGAGCTTCTTCCCGGAAGTCTAAGCCTCTGCTAGCCACACCCAGGAACAAGACACCGACTTGCGCCTGGCCAATCGGCAAGGCCACAGCCCTTTCTCCTCCCCTTACTCCAACCCCCTATAAAACCCCTCTCCACACAGAGTTCTCTCTCTCTCTGCTTCCTGCTGCTGTGTCGGCAAGGTGGGGGAGCCGAGCTAGCTCGAATAAAGACTCTTATGCTTTTGCATCGGACTGGCTGGCTCCCTGATGTGGTTTCTTGGGGATCCTGAAATCTGGGCATAACAAAATACACCCCAAGAGGTGCAGGACTCTGGGAACATTCATTCATACACAGGTATTTGCAGCCTGTTGCAGGCACTGGGGATGCAATATTGGAAAAACACCATCCCCATGGAGCTCATGTTCTGTGGGTGGAGAGAGATAAGAAAATATCTAAATGTGATGTCAGGTATCCACAAGTGTTATAAAAAGAATAACAGAGCAGTGACAAGTCGGAAAGGGATTAACAGAGAGTCTTTACGGAAGTGTTCTATGAAGGTGCCTCCCATGGACACCCCTAAGTGTCAGCAGGGGTCTGAGGGCAGTGAGTGGGTGAGCTGAACATACACCTGGAAAAGAGACTGAGAAACAGAAAAAGTAACAGGTTCACAGGTGCTGAAGTATTGGTGGTCATGCTGTTGACCTTGACCACTCTCACACAAACACACGCACACACAGGCAACAAGGCTGAGATGAAGAGACATTTTCCAAATCCAGGGCCTCATCTTTCCATCCCGACATATACATCCAAATATTGATCAATTTCTCTCTTCCCTCCTAGTTTCACTCTTAAATTTCTGGAACCAGCCCACCACTGCCCAACTCGCTGTTGTGTCAACCAATGCTGCCATAGGACAGGATGTTATTCTACGTATACTCAATGTGCCTCCCGGTGTTAGAGGCTTCATGTGGTACAGGGGGGAAGAGCCAATTTTTGAAAATAATATTGCACGTCTTGGAACGTCGCCAGGACATAGACCAGGGCCTAAATACAGCGATCGAGAGCAAATAAACTTTGATGGATCCTTGCTGATAAAGAGTGTCACCCTGAAGGACACAGGAATCTACACCGTACTAGTCTACCTTAAAAGCTCAAAAAAAGAAGAAATTGGATTTGGACAGCTCAATGTATATGGTGAGTGATTGCTCTCTTACCTCAGAGTGTTGGGTGGGTGAACACACAGGACTGACAGCCCTGGAGTCGCCTCCATCCCCCTTTGCATTATCTCCCAGGTTGGGTTTGGGCATTTAGTGCAGGACACACACAGTGGAGACAAACTTTCTAAGATCAGAGTTCCCTTCCCGAATTCCAGCCCTGCAGACATTCTCCACAGAGAGAAGGGCCAGTCTGATGGGAGTCGCTCAGCAGAGACAGACCAGTCTCAGTCCGGTTCCCACAGCCCCTTCCCATGAACATGACCCTGAGAAAGACCCTGCAAGGCTAGGCCAGGGCCCATCCTGAGGAGCCCCCTGCAATCATCATAAAGAAGCTCAGCTTTGGCAGCCCCGCCCAGACCGCTGCCCCAGGGTTTCTGACTCCAGGGACCCTGGGGATCCTGTGTCAGGTTGGGGTTAACTTCCTGGGAAGGGCTGAGTGGGTGCAATGGTTTCCCAGGTGTCTGAGTCACAAGGCTTTTGAGCTGATCAGAAGCCAGAGCTCAGCCCCTTGAGCCACATCTGGATAGGGGTGGTGCTTCACCTGTGACTGAGTGTGGCTAGCACAGATGGACAAGGTCGCCAGGCCATTTGTGAACTACACTGAAACATTTAGGAGAGTCCAGAGAAAGATCAGAATCACAGGGAACAAAAAGGAGGAAAGATGATCCTGGCAGCACCTCATCCACCAGGGATCAGCCCAGGAGATTCTCTCTTGAAGTATATTAATAACAAAGGCCCTTCATTTGAGCAGCTCCCCTGTCCCAATGTTTATTCAGATACTGTGTATATTTTATTGTTAATACACTGACACACTGGCAGTCAAATGTTCATCATACTGCATTGAGAGGAACCCAAGGCACAGGGAGATATAGTCATTAAAGCAGAGCCACACAGACCATGAGAATGACTCAAGGTCTGTCTGCAGCCATAACCTCTCCTCCATCCCAGAGGGATCCCTAAAGCAAACATTGGTTTTCAGTGATGACGAAGCTTTTGAGCTCCGCGTGCCAACATTTTGAAAAACCCTAACTTAACTCTGGTGCCGATTCCCATATAGAAATTTTTTTGATATTTGCAACCATAGTAAAACAAAGACTTATATTTTTGATATTTATTTTATAGATGTAAATGCCATTTAACCGAAAAATCAGCCAAAAAATGAGCTCGCAGTTTACCTCTGACACGAGTGTCTTAGGTTCGCCATCACTGGTTTCGATCTTCCCTTAGGCATCCCCAGTTCCGAGAGAGAGACTGTGGTCTAGAAAATAACACCAAATGGAGAATTAATTTATTTGTACTCTAGAACCAAATTACCTGCACTAACAATCAGTCAGTTTTGGGAACACCCAGACCTTCGCCTCAGATGGCTGATCCACCCCTCCCTGCACTGGAGGTGAAACCACTGATTTGTTTCCTGATGTGTTGGTGTCATTCCCACTGGATATAATGGAAAGGACTTTGCCTGATAGCATCTCATTTTACACTTGTAACCAGCTAAGGGATCAAGATGTTAACACTCTGTTGTTTTGATGAGTTAGGATGAAATAAATGGCTACTGAAGGAAGGAATGTGCTAAAAGCTCTTCAGAGGCTGAAACCTGGATGCAGAGTCCTTGGAATTCTGGCCACATGGGAAAGGCTCCCTGTCAATCCAGGGGTTGAGACCCATGTTTCAGACCCTTTCCTATTCTCTAGGGAAATTGACCTTTCTGCCATTGCTCTTAGGCCCTGGTGTATTAATAGAAATTTTTGCATATGGGGGAATTTTAAGATCTTTCCAAATTTCTATCTCATAACCACCAAACACAAATGGTCCACAAGGGTCCAAATGTCAGCAATCTATGCTCCCCTCTTGCCATTCATCACCCCTTCTGCATCTGCACAAGCCTCACCTGCCCTCAGCAGAGGGAGAATGACTTTAATGACCAAGGACAAAGCATATGGTTCTGCTGCCACAATAAGATCCTGCCTGTCTCTTCACTCCTTTCTGACTCATTCCTTGGGCTCTGCTCTATCATTTATTGGCTCACTGGCTCATGTCAGTCACACTCACCTGGGAAGGCCTGACCCTCCTCTTGGCCCCGGGGCCTGAGTAGTCAACTGACCACCGATTTGATCCTGGTCCCCTATTTTATTTCTGCTCCAATATGAGTCTCTAAGATGTCCTGGGAAATGGTGCCTCTTAGAAACACACCTTAGCTGGGTAATGAAGGTCTGTGCAGCTAGATAAAATTGCAGTCAGCTGGTCAGTGAAGAACTAGGAGATGTGTGGGAGGATTAGGGGGAGAGGGGGTGTCTCTACCTCTTGGTTCTCTGTTTTTCCACAACCAAATCCTGCTAATCTATTGAATGGTTCCCTTCATTTGTTGAAAAGACTGTCCTTTCTCCATTGAACAGTCTTGGCTTGTGAGAAAGGCTGTGCTTTCTCCCAGACACAGAGTATTTAAGTTCTCTGAGGGCTCAGAGCACCAGGCATTTGTCTTGTGATACATAAACCTGCCTTATTCCTTTAACTTGGCTGAGAGGTGAGAGGTGCCAACTCTCATTGAAGAAGGCTGGAGCACTCAAGTGTCCCACAGGGCAGTGTTCTCCTGTTACCTGCTCAGTGGAGTTACCCACACTTAATATCACAAGCATCAACTTTGAGAGTTTTAATTTATATTTTTCTAATGATAGTGATGTTGAGCATCTTTTCCTGGGGTTATTGACCATTTGTATACCTTCTCTGTAGAAATGTGTATTCACGAGGTTAGCCCATTTTTAAATCAGCTTATTTGGTGTTGCTGTTGTTGAGTTGTATTAGATCTTTATATATTCTGTATATTAACATCCCCATCCAATTAATGATTTTCAAAGGATTTTCTACCATTCCAGAGATCACCTTCCACTCTGTTGATTGTGTCC